ATATTTTTAGTTTCCTCATATATACTGTAAATATATTATCATATCTCTCTTTGTGAATGTGTTCACTTGACATTATCATTCACTGGAAGCGTCTGCAGACAATGCTTCCCACCAATAATGAGGGGGGAATGTCGCTTCATAAATATGGATGCTGCCGAGGTCACCTAAACTCACAGCTGCTGGCTTAATATATGTATGTAAACAGCGAATACGCGGCATGCCATCCCTCTGCGTCCTGTTAACAGCTGAAATATGGGATGCGCGAAGAACAGGGAGCGCGCGAGCTGTGTGTAATAAAATAGGGATTAAAATGTAATGTCAAAGTTAATGCTGGGGGGCCACACGGAGCCGGGATTTAACCCCCTGTTAAGCAAATCGGAAGAGATTGGGAAAATCAGGGCTATTAAATAGAAGGGGATGAATGGTATTTGTCCCAGGAGGGCAGAGGGCCCACTAATGCTACCCATAGTTCATGACATTGACTTCAATTACACTTCTACTCACTTTCTATATGAATTTTTAAGGGATAAACATGACATATGTATCCCAGTCTGTGTTTTACTATTCATTGTTATAGGTTATAATAGGTTATGGTTATGGTTAGCGCCGAGAAAGGGGATGCAGATCACCAAAACGTGTTGAGTTAGTAAAAAAACTCGACATGATTTAAGTGGATATGGCATCAGATAGGCACGCTGGAAAGTTACATCTGTAGAAAGAAGTTGGGGGTTGAAATAAAAAGGTTTAAAGGGCATTTGTCCCAGAACTACCAGGGCAGAGGGCCCACCAATGCTACCCATAGACAAGAGATTTCATGACACTTCAATGACATTTATATTTTCTCCTGATATGAATTTTTAAAGGGCCAGCATGACATCTGTATCCCAGTCCGTGTATCACTATTAATTGTATATATTATGTTTATGGCCTGCCCTGAGGAAGGGATTGCAGATCCCTGAAATTTGTTGGGTGGAAAATCTTTTTCCGCAGTGATAAAGTGGAGATGGCATCAGCAATGGTGCCATCGGGGCATTTACATCGGGGTACAAGGGTATTTGTTATACTGTTTATGTTTCCCAGTCTGTGTTTCTATGTTTATGGGGAGCCGTGAGGAAGGAGGTGCGGATTACCAAAACGTGTCGGGTTATAAAAAAGTTCTATATGGTTAAAGTGGATGTAGCATTATATATATATATATATACCGGGTATTATACCTTTTACAGAGATCTGGACTGTGACTCTGGTTCAGAGATGACACAATCATATAACCCTGGTGCCTGCTCTGGACAGTATATGTGGACTTCAAAGCCCTTCAGTCATGCAATAACCTCCCTCACCGGACATCCTTATCTGCCTGCTTGTTCTGGGTCAGTGACGTAGAAAGTATGGACACCTGAGGGTCTTCATAATAGCCGGTCAACTAGTATTTTTAGAAGACAGTCAGTGGTGACATCTTCCATGTTCTTCCATGTTCTTGTCAGGAATTCCTTTGGGCTCCCATTGAAGGTGACCATAAGCCTAGAAGGAACCTATCAATGACAGGTACTCTTGGCGAGGACACCCACCGCACACTTCTATACAGGCAGCTGCGAACTTGCGATTGGTCAGCGCAGAATAGTTTAACCCCTTGTTACATCTTCCTGGATCAGCTCATGTTTATCCGAAATCTGGAACCTAAACTGGAGGTGACACAAGAAGATAGCTATGACGTGTCCTCCAGCTCTGACCACCTTCTGAAGTGGCTGCTTGCCTGGCTGTCATGCTGGTCCTCTGTGTTCTCTGTGTCCCTGTCCTGGAACTAATATGCAGATCAGGAAAGCAAGACAATTCAGAAGTCCTTATCTGGATGCTTGGCCCAGGTAAATGAATCGAAGTACTGAAGTCAGAGGCTGAGCCAGGAAACTAGCATGCTCAGATGGTGGGCTCAGCCATGGCAGTCTCTGTCCATGCTTCTTGGAGGATGGGTTTACTTGGCTGAAATGCCATTAGTGATTGAGCAGCTGCCAGTCAACTACAACTCCCAGCAGGTCCTGGTAGCATCATGCAGCGACTGTCCGTGTCCGTGGTGCTGAAAGGACAGCTCCTCTTACCCTGCCTGGTCTCTCTGCAGGTAGAGTAAGGGAAGGGGGTACTGAAAGGAATCTGACTGCTGTGCACCTCCATCAGCCTTTTTCCCCTCTCTGCCCTCCACTCCACTTGTGCCCGTCTGAGCTCTGCAAGCTACATGTGGTGGCCGTGAAGGGGTTAATTAAAAGTGCAAGTCCATGTCCTTCATATTGCAGTCCTGAGTGCTTCTCATATGTTTGAGCAATGGCAATGGAGGAAAAGCATCCTAGATACATATATGTGCTGTGGCTCTAAGGGAGGCAGTGCAGAGAGCCGACTGCATGGCCTGTACACTGCATCATGGTAACGATTGGGTTAATGGGTCAGGCAAGCCTTCCTGTGAGATGGGTTAATGCATGCATGCCTTATATGCTGTGCTGTGGCAGCACACGGGTTAATGTAACCACAAGCATGCCTGCCTTGCAAGGGGCAGTGAAGGGGTTAATAGAGATGGGTTCCTAGCCCTACTTCCCCCCCCAGTATTTCAGAGTGTGAACAGTCAGTGTGCAGACAGGATGAAAATCTCACATGATGTGCCATGGGGTGAACACTAAAACAACAGCGAATGCATACTCCATAGGCAGCCCTGCGACAATAAAAGGGTTAATGCATCCAGCTACCTAATACCTCAGTGCTGGACACATAATAGACTTTGTTCCTACAGTGAAAGGGTTAAAGCTCTGGTGGGCTGGGGGGTGCACTGCTTGTCTCTGCAACGAAATGGGTTAATTTGTACCCCCTGCTGTAGATACATTGTATACATTGTGCATTACTTTGCCCTGACTATGGATGGTCAGTGTTACAATGTGCTGTTTGGAGTCGCACGGGTTAATACACTGATCCAGATGAACCTCTCTATGTATTCCGCTTCTCTCTGGCAGTGAGAAGGTTAATAGTCTTATGGAATACATCTGTTTTACATTCTAGTATACAGGACACAGAGCTCATATCTCTTCACACAGCCTACAGGTGAAAGCAGGTATACACCCAATCCATATACTGTAGAGGTGTCGTTGCTGGCAGTGAAAGGGTCAATGTGATGTAAATGATGTATATACCGCAGCAGGATCCGACATTTAAAGGGATACGGTCTATGTGTGTGTATAGCTATGCGGTGCTAGTGAGAGACGGAGATGAAGGAGTTAATTTAAGGTGGCAGAGCAGATGCTGATCTAAGCCCGGGAAACATAAAGGCAAAAGGAGGGTATGGTGTTAACCCCTGAAAATCACTTTTAGGGTTCATGTATTTTACTAATACTAGGCACGGTGCAAGGCATAGGAAGGTGCGGAATGATGGAGGGATGACAGGAAGGAGATCAGACAGATGATAGATGGGCACACTGTGTGATGGGGGGAAGTACAGAAGTACAGTCAGACATTGTATGGAGGGACAGAAGGATACTGACATACAGAAAGCTAGTTCTATGGACACGCAATGAAAGGAGAGGGGTGTGGTTGGTGGGGGAGAGGATGGAGGACAGACAGACACTGAAACAGAGTGAAAAAAGAGGCTAGAAGGACAGACAGAATGAATGAAAAGAGATGAATGGAGGGGGGGTGATAGAAAGAGAGGGAGGATAATGGAGAGATAGACACTGGAGAAAGAGAGAGAGAGAGGGGAGAGAGGCAAGGGTAGTAAAGAAAGGGAGAGAGGATGGAAGGACAGACAGCCATTGGGTGCAGACATTAGGACATACAGAATTAAAGTAAAGTGAATGGAGGGGGGATAGAAAGAAAGAGGATAATGGAGAGATAGAGGGGGGGGGGAAGGCAAGGGAAGTAAAGAAAGAAAGGGAGAGAGGGAGGATGGAAGGAGAGACAGACATTGGGTGCAGACAGTAGGACAGACAGGACGAATGCAAAGAGATATATCTGTAATGAATGGAGGGGCAATAGAAATAGGGGGAGATGATGGAGAGATAGACACTGAGAGGAGAGAGAAATAGAGAGAGACAGTAGAAGACAGAGACAAGGAAAGGAAAGAGGATGGAAGGACACACAATGGAATGGAGAGAGAGAAAAAAAAGAGGAGGGACAGACAGACATTGGGTATAGACAGATAAAAAGTTGATAGTAGGACAGACAGAATGAATGAAAAGAGATAGTGAGTGGAGGGACAGTATCAGAGAGATAATGTACATAGACACTGGGAGAAGAGAGGGAGAGAGAGAGAGTGGATGAGGGACAGACAGACAATGACAGATAATTATAGGTTAGGAGACTAGTATGGGGACTGTAGACAGACAATGTACAGTATATAAAGATGAATAGACAATATGTGGAAAGCTATAGGCAAGTAACAGACACAGTAGGTAGAAGGACAGACAGACACTGCAAGGAGGGACAGGTGCTGGATGGAAGGAAGGACAGACACTGTGTAAAGAATATAAGGACTCTGGAGGGACAGGTTCAGGATGGAAGGAAGGACAGAAACTGTGTAGAGAATAGAAGGACTATGGAGGGACAGGTGCTGGATGGAAGGAAGGACAGACACTGTGTAGAGAATAGAAGGACTATGGAGGGACAGGTGCTGGATGGAGGGAAGGACAGGCACTATGTAGAGAATGGACCCTGGAAGGACAGGTGCTGGATGGAGGGAAGGACAGACACTGTGTAGAGAATAGAAGGACCCTGGAAGGACAGGTGCTGGATGCCTCCATCCAGGACAGACACTGTGTAGAGAATAGAAGGACCCTGGAAGGACAGGTGCTGGATGGAGGGAAGGACAGACACTGTGTAGAGAATAGAAGGACTCTGGAGGGACAGGTTCAGGATGGAAGGAAGGACAGACAATGTGTAGAGAATAGAAGGACTTGACAGGGACAGGCAGGTACAGGATGCACGGAGAGAAGAACTCCGGATGGATGGGTGGACACACAGATCTGGAGACAGACAGACAGCTCCATAGGAGGCTCAGCAGCTCTGACTGGCTCCGCTGGATGGAGAGTTGGGAGGGCGCATGCGCACTGGCAGCTCATTCAGCCTCACATCCTAAATGAGCCACATTTGTTGCCAACTCTTCATTTGAGCCGTGAGCCCACCCTGCCGAGCTCGTCTCCAGCTCCTGCCACCCCCCTCCTCCTACCCTGGACATCCTTCTTCCTCCCTGGCAGGATGGCAGCCCAGCATCGCCCCCCAGGACATAGCTGAGAGCTGCTCTCTGTCTGGGGGCTCCCAGGGAGGGGGTTACCCTGATGGATTTGGGTACCGCTGGGCAATCGTGTGAAGTGCTGCCAGGGCTGCAGATCTCCAGCACAGACCCCCCTCTCTGCCCAGGGGTGGTGGTACACTTCTGGGGCTCTGGCATCTTGAGCGGCACAAGGCTTTCTTCTTCATCTGACCACACAGGACCTCTTCACACCCTTCCCACCTGGATACCCATGGCTGAATCTGGCATGGAATGCCCACTCACTTTGGATTTCTGACCTGGCATTTGGGACGGGGACACGACAAAGCTTATCTGTCATTTGGATTATAAGAGGCTTCACCATGGCACTGGAGAAAGTCTACTTTATCCTAGAAGGTATGAATCAAGGGGGTTAACCCCCCCCCCCCCCCCCCCCCCCCCACAAACAAAACAAACATGCCCCC